TGTGTCAATGTCACAATATCACACACAATTTATACTATTTTTTATTCACACATAAACCCGCATGTGTTATTTCTGTATTATCATGTTTCATATAACAATGATGTTAAATATGTAAAGAATTTATAGAGATACGCAATTTTTACATCTACGTTTTTATTTGATACATGTAAGATGTATCTCTAATACATATTTTCAAATAAAAAACGTATAATTTTATATAAAACATTACAAAAAATATTTTAATAATTTTGTCTATTACAAGATATAAATCTGGTGGCTGCTTTAATTAAGATTCCAAATTCTTAATCGATTCCAAATTACCAAACACCTTTTTAAAACAATAAAATCGCCATTTAACCACTAAACTTTTCTTGTTTTATTGACAAATTATTTTTACCCCACCAAAGTCATCCTATTCAGCACCCATAAATAAATTTTACTTAAGAGTTTTTCTATTCACAAAACTTTCTACAGAACAAAACCTTCTATTTTCATTCTTTATTTATATGATGGGATGCTTTTGTAACTCACACAAAATAAGATGCAAAAAAGATCGTGAAAAATTGAATGGTTCTTTCTGAATGAAAAAGTTTTCCTCAAATATTTTCGTACGAGAAAGGATTTCCAATGACGAGTGAGGTTGATGGAAAATGAAGAAGTTGAAAATTTGGACTGAAGTTGGAAAAAATAAATATTCAATTGAAGAAGGGTAAAAATTATCACATGGAATTGGCAATAGATACTGATAATAAATAGTAATATTGAATAGCAATATTTTTGTGTAAGAAAAATCATGGACGAGGTACGAGATAACCGTTTTTGTGGATGTATACATACATATATATATATATATATATATATATATATATATATATATAGTTAAACAATAGAAAATGTAAATTTACCATTGCTGAACTATCGTTGCATAAGAGAACGTCAAGTTTAGCAGAAACGGTGTTAATTGCATATTTGCACATTCGCGTATTAGCATAGAAATGATTTAATACTTTTGTCTCCCATTTCGAATATTCCACAGAATTTAATAAATTAATTTATTCAAGTACATGATCCAATTATATATGCATATTTATTTAAATTGAAAATTAATAATATAATTCTCTGCGTAATCTGTTTCGTCGTGATGACATCGATTTATCAGTCAATTTGGAATGGTCAGATTGGGAAATCGTCACTGATAAATGAATTTTAATAAATATGAGAAATAGAAATATTTAAAATCGAAAAAATTGACTGGAAAAATTTAATGTTTAATTGAACATTTTCGTCCACGTTTTACCACTCAATCCTGAATCCATTTAAAAACTAGTGAGGCGCGTGGCATCGTGCTTTAAGGCAAATTGCTGGAACTTCCTGTACATTTTTTTTTTAAATATTAACATTTTTGAAAAAAAATTACTCTGATAAATTAGATTTTTGAAAAACTATAAATTTTTGACAAAAATTTACTAATTCTGAACTTTTTTTCAAAGCAATCGTACTGCTCTAACTGCATAGATTTGAACTATCGAAGGTATTGGTACGGAACCCATAGGAATGTTAACAAAAATTATACTTATTATAAAAATGTCTATAAAATAACTGATAATTTGATGTGCATATGTCTAATTTTAATTTTTGACCGCCAAATGGCATTTTTTTTACTAGATCTCCGAAACCGCTAGACCTGCCTTTATAAAAATTTGATCAGTTTTTCATCCTGTTAATATAAGTAAATTTTTTTTTTAATTATACAAATCGGACGCTCCGTTCTCTTAAAAACTAAGTTACCGTTTTTGGCACATTTTGCCCCATATCTTCGGAACGGCTAGACCTGCCTTCGCCAAAAACTAATCAGCACGTCTTCTTATAAATACGAATCGAATGTTTTTTGAAATATTCAAATTGCTTTATCCGTATTCTTGAAATCGTCGACGAAAATTTGTATCGAACACACACACATACACATACACACACATACATCAATTTTTTCTAAGGTATGCCAAAATGTTCAGAAGGTTTTGAAACGTAAAGATATACAAAAATTTTCATTTTCGATTTTTTGCAATTACTATAACTTACCCAACGAAAAGTTAATAAGAAATATAAATATTTAAAACTGAGAAAATTGACTAAAATCATTTAATTTTTAATTAAGCATATTCGTCCACGTTTTACCAATCAATCCTGAATCGATTTAAAAATATCAAAAACTGTTCGAAAGATATTGACTTGGGAATTGTGCTGTATAGTTTTCGTCAAGATTGACCTTGGTAATTAATAGTTGAAAAAAAAATTACGAATTTTATAAATTTTTTATGATTATAGAACATGGTCATACTAATCATACTAAAATATTACGGCCTTTTATGTTGAAATTCTGAAAATTTACCAAAGTTTGATATGACATGCATGACAATTGCCTTTTTGCAAATACAGATTTTTTTAAAAAAAAAAAATGATACCCATTTTTATCGGTTATATCAAATTACAAAATATCTGAATTTCGATTTTGCCAAATGGCAATTTAAAAAAATTCTGTTTTTTTCGGCCTAAAGGCAAAGTTTTCTTGCCTAGTTTCAAAAACTCAATCAATTAAGCCAAAAAAGTGAATTCTTAATTAACTTTTTTTATTAATATATATTATATAAATATATATATATTTATATATATATATATATATATGTTATTATTAATTCCTAACTTACTTTATGTTCTTGACTGTATAATTGCTGGCTCCATATATATCCATATCGGATAGAGTAACGCGGTAGCCCTGCGGTCCGCCGGTGAGCGCGAGCGACAGCTTGTCCATGCGGAAGGGCTCGACCGGCGGCATCTCAATCTCGGGGATTCCTGCGGCCAGGTACGGTCTCAGGTGATGCAGCGAATCCTTCAGACAATCCAATAACGCCGGGTCCGACTCTCGACACTGTTTGATGTATTCGGCTGTGGGGAAGAAATAGTTAAATTAGAATGAGTGATTAAGTGATTGAACGATTTATGGCTTATTTATATATCTATAATAATGAGAACTTTATTCAAATAAAATATATACTAGTGGCGCAAATTTGCAAAATAAAAGTAATTATCAATTTTTTTAAGGTATGCCAAGATGTTCAGAAACCTTTGAAACGTAAAGATATACAAATAATTTCATTCCTCGATTTTTGGACAATTATAGAAGTAAGTTATAGAACTTACCCTACGAGAAGTTAATAATAGATAGGTACGAAAATATAAAAAAACAGGATTTTAATCAAATTCTGCATACTAATAAGGATAAAAAACTAAAATTTTGGAAAACAGTCCATGCTTTTTATGATATCTACATGGGGCACAACTAGTGTATCCGCCTAAAAAAAGGTGAATTTTGGGAATTTATATTAAAAAACTACTTTATGAATCATTTTAAAATTTTAGGAATATATTTAAACATGTTTTAAGAATACATAGTAAAATTTTTGAAGAAAAAAATTGAATATTTTTTAAGTTATCGTCGATCTCCAACGGAGCGACAAAAAAAGACCCTTCACTGCAGCAGTGATTCCGGTCTTCTACGTGGATGAAATTTAAAAAAAAATCTCGTTAAACTAGATGATATTGTCTGTAAAATAAACCACGATAAAGAAAAAAACTTGACAAAATGACGGCGTTTTTTAAAAAAAGTCGAATTTTACTCAAAATTTTGGTCGTTTTTGGACTGCCGAAATTCGATTTTTGATCCGATCAAAAAATCGATAGTTCATTTTACGCAGAACTATATATAGAACACGTAAAAAAAATTTGATAGTGATCGGATCATTTGTTTTTGAGTAATGCTTGCAGCAAATTCGGAAAATGCTGTTTCGAGAAAAACGCGATTAAAGATTAAATGATCGTTATAATACATACTATATATATACTGTTTAAATGGCTGTAACTCAAAAACTATTTAAGATATCGATTTAAAATTTTGGTATGTTATTTTTAAAGGTATAACCTGTCGAAATATGGAAAATTGAAAATTCGATTTTTTGAAAATTTCACACTAGTTGTGCCCCTTAATCATGATTCAAATACTAAAATATAGCCACAAAAATAGGCATATTTTTTTTTTTGAGAACCATAGTTATATATTTCACCTCACAGTAAAGAAATAATATACATTATAAATTCATGAAAATAAATGGTCTATTTTAAGGACAATGATTTTCCATAGGTTTATATATATTTTTTTAAATTTTTTAATAGTACCTATAATATTTTCTTAATTTTTCGGAATTTATTATTTTCATAAGTTTTCAGTTTCCTCGAAACAATAAAACGATTTCTGAGTAAGCTATTTTTTCTAACGAGATGCATCAATCACGTGCTTCTTTCTTTTATAAAACAAGCAACTCAAAAAGGCGAAAGAACTCTTTGAGCATAATGTCAACTTTGTTTTCAGAAGTTTTCGCAGTCATTATAGATTTTCTGTAAAGTCACTGACAAACAACGCCAACGATCTCATTCATTAATCATATTTGAGGACCCTTCAGGAAAATACTTTTTAATTCATGACAAAATAATAGTCATCACCTTTATAGTAGTAATATATATGGAGGCTGTAGAAATTATCGATGAACAACTCTAATTTAATCTGGATGTTTTTATCAAATTACTTTAATTCTTATTAATAAACGAATATTTACTTTTGTTTATAATAGAGATACTTTCCATTTTATTACATGACATGGGTTTACTATAATAGAAACAAACACAAAGGTCTATATTAAATAAATCATAAATATATAGTGCTTGCATTGAAAATAATTGGAAATAAATATTTATTTAAAAATGTATGAACTATATCATAATTAACATAAATTTTTTATTTAAAATATAACCGTTGTGGCATGAAATTATTCATCAAATTATTATATAATGAGATATGCCTATCAATTACGCATAAAATAACTATAATAAATAAATACCATTAGCAAAAATAAATGCAATGCAAAAATAAACAATTACATAAATTAATTTCTACATGAATGATCGAATGCTTGATGTTAATTCTAGAAAGTTCTTGTTTGATTCTGCAAAACCACTTGTTCCTCCTAATTATTACAATCACTTTTACAGTTCACTTAAATTACATGTTTAGATATATAACAGCATTATGAGATGAGATGTATGTTCTGATAACTTTTGCAAAAACTACATGTTAAAGTACTTTCGTTTTATTTTACAGCAACAGCGAAAGTATGATTGAAATTTAAGTTTGTAAATTCACTTTTTTCTTAGGTTCTTGCTAAATTAAAAGTATATAAATTAATGCGTATCGATTTTGAAAGATAGGATTTGTAGTTGTGTAGTATCAACAATACGTTGACACTTACAATACATTTTTATAACTGAAAATGGATAAAATGAAAAGCGTTAAAATAATTAATTTAATTTATGCAACGTAAAGTATATTTGTCAGACATCGTATTGATTAATTTTTAGTTTTTTTTTATATTTTTAACAGCTATCAGAACCTTACGTCCTATGGGCTGTTGGGCTGAAACTTCTCCTTACTTCGTATTTTTAGATGGAAACCCAATGGTTGATCTATCCATATTTGATGATTTTTGTTATTAGAATTAATCTAATAGGGCTGACTTTTTATTGGTGCAGCAATGCCGGACAAGGGCTATTTTCACTTAGAAACATATTGCTATTTATATTTCCAAGTGAAAATTGTTGTCATTGCTGCCTGACAACAGGCTGCTCAAAGTGGGTTTCGAACCCGGGACCTCTAAAACAAGTTCCGTCGCTCTTAACCACTTACCTACGGGCGAGCCCAATTTTTAGTCAAAGCAAATATTTCATTTTTGAAATAAATGGTTCTAAATGTTACCTAAATCACTGAATCTCAATTCTTATTGATTAAAGTAATTATGTAGACGTATCGGAAAGTTCATGCAACTTGCCTTAGGGCAAATCGAGTTTTCATTGAAATAAATAAACTACGTACTACGTACTTTTCTTGAATATCAAAAGTCTCGTTTCCTGAGTATGTAAACAAGTGATATTGCATGTACATTTTTCAACAAATCAAGCGTGTACAAATTTAACTACCATTATAAGCAATCAAAAATCTTTTACTCCCATGAAGCAAAAAAATCATTCCCCGCTTCACATAAAAGGACAAAATATAACATCCATCGACTAGATGAATAATTTATTCGTGATTTACGGATTGCGTAGGTTTAACAGAAAAAAAGGCAAAATCGATCATATCGCAATATCCGTATATCATACGAGGCAAATAATAATTTCCCTCTTCGCTTTCTATCCTCATATTTAAAAGCATTAAGATGTAAAATCTGTTCGCGAACGCGGTAGTTAAACGCTGCCGCCTCTAACGTTGCTGCGCCTACCTGTCACGGCTGCCTGAGTCTGCTGCCGGAAGAATAATATGTGCCGCCGGAAAGTAATTCAAATTTAATGCTCTTTGAACGCACTTACACTTGCGCAATCCAAACACTTCCCATCGGAAACAACATATACTGTTCCGGTCTCTAACGTGTAAATGACATATAAATATATTATATTTTACATATCAGTGTGAAGTCTCAATCATCGTGGCTTTAAGTTGATTTTGCAAATAAATTATATAAGGCATCGAAATGAATCAATATAAATAACAGATGTTGAATTAATTGGATAATTTTATTTATTTTAAATAAAAAAACTAAAATGTGTAAATGACATTTTTTCTTTTTTTCCCAAAATTCACTGCCCAGAAGTTAATTATTTAAATCTTGTATTTTTTACTAACCGTAGGTAAGAGTACTCTGATATATTTATTTTATTAATTTTTTATACTTAATAACCGATAGAGTCCACAATAAGAATTAACAAATTAACTACTTTAAAATGTTGATAATTTGGGCTAAATATTTCAATATTTAGTCTCGATTTGACCACGATCTATCCTGGATTCGCGTATTTATGTATTCTTCTCTATCAAATTATTTATTCACTTTTACATTTTTTTAAATCAATTCTTTTTAGAAATTATGTAGTTATTCAGAAATTACAAAATACATTTTAAAATTTAGTCTATTATTACGAGGAACTCTATCAATTTACAAAAATTATTCAAAGAAAATCATTTTTATTTAGTACTTTTTAATTGCAATATATTTCCAGAAAATAATAATCAGAATTTTATAATTAAACTATGAATATCGCCAATTGATATTTGTGGTTTCAACAGAATTGAAAAATGACATGCTTGTCAAATATATTAATTATAAAATTGCATAATAAAGACAATATTATTTGTGATATATGCATTTATGTAAAAAACGTTTAGATAATGTTAGAAAATTTCTGTAAAACTAAATATATAACAATAAAATCTTAATCTAATTACTTTTACAAATTCAAACAACTTTATTTATAATTTTTATCATATGTGTAAAGATGTTTTCTAATTATTTTTATTATTGATGCAATTTACTATATATATAAAACCTACAATTTTTTTCACAATAAAAACATAACAAGGCAGACATTGAATATTTTTAAGAGAAAAGACATCTCTTACGTTATTTTAAAACTGGTTTGCATGAGTTGATAATTAAATAAAATATCAAAAGTGTTAATTCTGCCGCAAGCATCGTGTCGACCTTCAAATTTTAATATTTCATATATTGAAATAATTTCTCTGCTTGTTACAAATATGTTAATGAAAATTTCATAACTGTCTTCGGGTAGGTCATAAAAAAACTAAAATACTACGTAGTAAATAAATGAATGAAAAATGGTAAATGGTGCTTGATTACACTTTTTTATTTTAAATTTAATTGTTTTTATTTGTTTATTATTATTACTATAAATATTTTTACTTTAGTTTCCATTGCCGTATTAATTCTGTATTTTTTTCAGCTATATTGATTGATTACGACCTATTTTGTAAAAAGAAATTTTTA